CATCCTGCCCTAATTTAACTGCCCTTCTTGCCAAGTTCACCACCCTCTGTGCCATTTTCAGCTTCACCCTGTCCACACTGCTCGTCACCTCGATTTCTCTCCTCAACCGCACTGCCTCCGGTCATTTTGAGCAATGTCCTTCCAGGCTCTATCTAGCCCCCACCCTACTGCTGTCTCCCTGCTTGGTCCACCGAGCCCCTACAGGTAAAACTCATGCAGTTTCACATTTCAAATTTCAGATTCCCCATGACCTTCAGTGAAGTCTTCGCACTTCAAGAAAACTTGGGCAAAATTCAGAGTCGGCTCGAGATTACATATAGTTCTGAGAGCTAGAGGAGAGAGAGCACATAACTGAAATATAGAGATAACCAAATGGCTCTACATTACAATCTTTTCCATGAAGCTTTTTTAAAAAGCAGTAATTTATATTTCATCGTTCTTGGTGCAGCCAACTGAGTAGACTTTGGTGGCTTTGAGAGTCGAGGGCTGAGAGGCTGCCCAGTTTTTGTCCCACCCCCACCTTGTGATGATACACGAGACTATCTGAGACAATCGAGCAGGTTGGTTAGTCAGTTTCCCCCCCACCCCGGACACATGGTTGGTTCAGGGATGGGCATGAGACTCAGACAGGGCTAAGCAGGTGGCTCCTTGGCTTAGTATGAGAACCATGGCTGAGAAAATGTCAGCTGAAAAGGAATTACTGAATTGCTCATTTCTTTTCTGTCCCCTCTGCAATAGAAAACAAGCTTTCAGAGTGGGACGAAGAAAAGGACGTATAAGGAAAACGACTAAACGGCATTTTTTAAAACATTTCCTTCCTATAAAACTTTTCCAGAAAATCAGAGCAAATAGATAAGGGATTTTTAGATAAACTAGGAAAAAAAAAAAAAAGAAGAAGAAGACATTCCAAATCACTAAATATTAAACCAACAATGATATTTAAAAACTAGGAAATATAAACTAGAACAGAAGGGAAAATGGCATGGAGTCCAGTTACAATATCTATATTACCAAACCTACAAAAGAGAGAAAATCTAAATATAAAACAGATTCATGTTTATTAATTTAAAGATAGGCAGAGGTTAAATACAAATAATTAAGTAGGCTGAGAAATTACCTCCCACCTCACAAGGAAATTTTAATTTGGACATAAAATTCGATAGTTGTATAAGCAAAAGACCCAAACTATTCTTACCGTTTCCTTGCCCCAGAATGTCACCCCACAGCTCTCCTTTTGAGAGATGGAAAACGAATTTTTCCTCTGGAAATAGCCAATTCCTCAACTGAATGGAAATTTCCTGCCTCGATTACACAGAAAATTACTGGGTTCTCTAAGTAGCTTTTAAAGGCTCCACAGAGCTTTCGTGAGTGATTCGGGCCCACGTGTTCCCTGGAAGGAGCACGTGGAACCCACACGAGACTGTGCCTGGGGGCCGAGTCCAGGCCACCGAGTCTGGGCGCAAGCCGCGGGAGAGGGTGAAGCCAAACAAGGGTGATTTCATTCCATACTTAAACGTTTTTACGAAACTCCACATCTATTTTCTCAACTTCCATTGTCATCGATAGGTTTGTCTTTACAAATACTGGTAGAAAAGGCGGCCTTTTATAAAATGTATGTCCGGTAGAAGGTGCGATGCTGACTTCTTCTCTGACCACGGCCTAGGTTACAGATTTGGCACTTTTCACTTGGCCTGAAAGGAAGCAGATTTTTAGAATTACATTTAGTCAGCTTGTAATATAAAACAAAAACGAAGCCAGTTTTTAAAACAACGGGCATGAAGTAAATCAGTCTGTCCCGGTCATTAATTAAACCTTGGTGTGTCAATTCAAGTATTCTCCCCGGCCGCCTTTTTAAAAATATTTACAGCTGTACTGCAATCAGTATTATTGTTCCTAATTCTGCCACTGAATAGAATAACTTTTTTTAATAAGTTGCTTAACCTCTCTTGTCTTCATTTTCTTCATTGTAAAATGAAGGGGACATTTCAGAGGTTCCGTCAAGATCCAACCTTTCCATAATATGAAGGTGCAAGAAAATATACATATGACCAGTGCTTGGAAGGCATACAGGGGACATGGGGAGAGAGCTAACCTTCCTCAGATGTGAGAAGGGAAGGAGGTTGTTGGGCCAGGCGAACAGTCGTGGTGGAGCCGGGGGGAGGGTGGAAATCGGACTGTATCATAATCATTCAGGTCTTAATCATCTCAACTCCTGGACTATGCTGGTCTCACTCCTTCTAGCCTCTCCTCTCTCCCATCCGTTTTACAAGGAAAGACAGATTATTTCCCCCTATAATCTCTCTTCTCTCCTACTCCAAAGCCTTTAATGTCAACTCACTACGCTGAAAATAAAGCCCAAGTTTTCTAAGCTTATAATTCAGTACTTTTAATGAAATGATGACAAATTAACTTTCTGACCTCATTGCCTACTGTTTGTTAACACAGACACGACTACAATCAGCCAGACGGACACCGACCACGTCCCCGTTCCCACATCTGACCTTCTCGGACCACACACAGCACTTAGTCTACCTTCTCAAGTATGCATGTTTACCACGTGGGTGGCAGGTTCTTTAAAGCCAAGGACGGTCAAAAGTGTCTAGCTCCCTTCGGGAGACCTGGGATGTTAGATACAGATGGCAGGGGATAATCTGCCACGCCACGAGACTGGATTGTCTTAACCTTAAAAAAAATCCACAGCCCCTTTTGACAAACATAAAAATCTTAGGTACCGGACACATTCGAAGAAATGAAGTTGAACCCCTACCTCACATCATTTACAAAAATAACTCAAAATGGACCCTAGAACTAAATGTAAGAGCTAAATATATGAAACTCTTACAAAAAAATAATAAAACGTAAAAGTAAACCTTAATGACCTTGGATTAGGCAATGTTTCTTAGATATGACCCTGAAAGTACAAGCAACAAGAGAAAAAATAAATAAACTGGATTTCATCAAATCGAAATTTTGTGCTTCAAAGGATACAATTAAGGAAATGAAAAGACAACCCACAGAATGAGAGAAAATATTTGCGAATCACATATCTGGTAAGGGACTTGTCTCCAAAATATATACAGAACTCGTACAACTCAACAATAAAAAGGCAATCCAATCTAAAAATTGGCAAAGAATTCAAATAGACATTTCTCCAAAGAAAATATACATATGACCAATAAACACACGAAAGATGTGTAATACCATTAGTAATTAAGGAAATTCGAATCAAAACTACATTAACATACCACTTCACACCTGAGATGGCTAAAAACAATTCTAAAAGACAATAACAAATGTCGATAATGATGTGGAGAAATTGGAGCCCTCATACATATCACTTGTGGGAATGAAAAATTGGAAACGGTTTAGCGAGTCCTCAAAAGGTCAGACATAGAGGCATAATGACCCAGTAACTCCACTCCTAAGAATAAACCCTAGAGAAAAGAAAACATATGATGACACGAAAATTTGTTCACAAAAGTTTATTTATAATATTTTATAATAATCATTATAATAGTCAAAAGAGTGGAAACTTAAATGTCCTTCAACTTCTAAATGGATAAATTTGAATCCATACGATGGAATATTATTGACCCATACAAAGGAATACTGATACATGTTACAACATGGATGAACTCTGAAAACATTATGCTCAGTGAAAGAAGCCAGGCACGAAATGCCACGGATTCTATTTATGAAATGTCCAGAAGACGCAAGCCCAGAGAAAGTAGCTAATGGTAACCAGGGGCTTGTGGGAGAGAGGAATGGGAAGTGACTGGTAATGGGTGGTAAAATGTTCTAAAATTAGATAGTGGTGATGATTATACAATTCTGCATACACTAAAGATCACTGTACTGTATGTACATTTTTAAATGGTGAATTTTATGGTATGAGAATTATATCTCAGTAAAGCTGATATTTTTAAAAATCTTAGGTATGACTGCCACCAAAATTCTTTTCTTTTTTTATTAAATTTATTGGGGTGACATTGGCTAATAAAATCATATAGGTTTCAAGTGTACAATTCAGTAATATATCGTATGTATAATGCATTGTGTTTGCCGCCCAAAGTTAAAATTCCTTCCGTCACCATATATTTGACCCCCTTTTACTCTTATCTACCCCCTCTCCCCTTTCCACCTAGATTCTGACATTGTACCTTCTTCATTCACATGACAGTATTCCCACAATAGGTTTTGCGAAATATTGTTGTAACACTCGAAAATGCTTTAATTTACTTTACAATTACAGTTGACATACAATATCATATTAGTTTCAGGTATACAACATAATAATTAATTATTTATATACCTTAGGAAGTGATTGCCTGATAAGTCTAATACCCATGCGACACTGTACATAGTTATTATAATAGTATTGATTATATTCTCTATGGTGTACCTTACCTCCATGTGACTATTTTTGTAACTCAAATTCTGCCACCCTACCTCATAGGAGGACATGCCTTCTTAGTTGAAAATCACTGGTCAAAATCAAAGGCATAGTAAATTATATTAAATTAAATAATTCATGATGGTAATAATATTAAGATAAGGATTAGACATTCTCTATAGAAATAATTCAGTTATCATTTTAAGTCATTATTTAATATCATTAAAACTATTAATGAAACTAGGACGTTATATCACAGGTCAGTGCTTGTAACAAGGGTAATACGTAATAAAGACTGTTAAAATCAGAGGATCTCAGAAATAACAACATTAAACCCAATTTTCATCTTTTCTGACATTCAAACCATTTTTTATCTAAAACTTACGTGGCGTAGACATTTTCGTGAAGATGGGAGTCACGACATCTTCCAGTTGTTGTTTCTGCTCAAAAAGCTCATCGATAGAAGCTTCCGAATGGGTCTCCAGCCACTCATTCTTCGCCCGGCAGGCACCGAGGATGGTATTCTAGAGACAGAAAGAGAGTCTGCTTTCTGCTTATTTATGGAAAAATAAAACTCTATAGTATCCCTAAACCAGCACTGCCCAACAAAACTTTCTGTGACGATGGAAATGGTTTACAGTTGCACTGTCCAATACAGCCATCATGGACACATGTGGCCATCGACTACTTAAAAAGTAGCTAGTGTGACTGAGGGGCTGAATTTTTAATCTTATTTAATTTTAATGAATTCAATTTAAATAGACAGATGTGGCTAGTGGCTACTATACTGGACAGCATAGCTCTAACATCGGTGGAATGTGATTATAATTAAACTCGCATTAGAGAGTCATGAAGCCTTGGGCTAGTCTATACCCTCTCCCCAATTCTTTATTTTCATTGAGCCCTGTGATACAGAGAAGTGTTTGCAAAGGTTGGAAAAGAGTAAGTGGAGGGTATGAGCTGCATGCAACTCAACAGACAATGTGGAGATTTCACTCCTCAGATGGTTCACAGGAGGAGGAAGCGGGCCCCGCATCACTGAAAACCATCTCTGTGCACGTGGGCAGCAAACCGCTGGTGTCTGATTTAAGCTGTTTATTGTCTGACAGTTTGTAACAATAAGAAGAATGAATAAATGCATGTCCGGTCCCTATTAAATAAATAAGCAGGAGCAGAGGCAGAAGGATAGAGAAGGAAGTAGACTTGGAAAGATACTGTGACATATCATTAAAAGAAAAAAAAGCAAATTAAAGAATCATATGGATAGTCATCCCACTTTTATAAAAACGAAATCTCTCTTATAAAACTATACGTGTGCATGCATATGTTTATACAAGAGAAAGTATGGTGAGATTAACACTACGTGTTATTAGAACTACAGGGTACTAAAACTGGAAATGGAAGAGAAAAAGCTTGCTTTAGACATTCCAATTTTATTCTCATTATTACTATCTGTGCCTAATATTTTCTAGTTCCAATAACCAAAAATTTAAAAATCGAAATTAAAAAGGCTTTTATAGTAACTAGTTTGACAAAGTGCTGTTTGTTTGGGTCAGAGAAATCTTAGCTGGCAGATCCGATGGCTACAATAGCTGTTCGAATAGAATGTTGGCTATATTCTGTTTTTTCATAAGAGATTTTGTAAAGCGTTTTACAAACCACAAGTGAAATGTGTAACCTATCACGGTTCCAGACTTGGTGATGCCTATGCCTTTAGCAACTGTTCACTCTTTTTCATCAGAAAGTCACAGAACATCCTGCAGAGAGATGCCAGAAATAACTTAAAACAAAAACACATTACCGAAACCTCCTGTGTATCTCCCATGTGTGAACATCTAAAGCAATAGACCAGTCCGCACTCAGTACTTTGTTATCCAGTAAATGTGGCAAGCTGGCTTTAAACAAGCTGTCTTTCTATCTGTGTATCTTTTTTTTAACATTATGTAAAATTTGATACATTAAAAATACATAATGTGTATAGTATATACATATGCACTAAAATATATGCTGTATATCTTAGTTTTTGAGCAAAATAATGAGTATCAGTGACACCTCCAACCAACGAAAGAACCGGAACACGGCCAGTAGAGCTAAGGCCACCTCTGTGCACTCCCATGCCACCCCCCTGCCCGCCTCCAAGAGACAGTCACAATCTGTGTTGATATCTCTGTGTTCCTTCTTTAAATAGTTTTGTGTGGGCGTCCCTAAACAATATAGTTTGATTTTGCTTGTGGTTGACCTTTATAAAAATCCATGCAGTTCTGGCAATGTTTTTTGGTTTTTTTTTTTCACTCAATACTACATTTCTCAGATTCGATCATGTTGTTAGGTGAGACGCTTAGTACATCTCTGTTACTCTTTAATATTATTTCATTTAATTTTTATTAGAAGAAGGGAAGGAGGGAAAAAAAAACAGAAGAAGAAAACAGCAAATTCCATCACCTACCTCTGGAACATTAGTGTAGAAAGTAAAGATATAAGGCAAATATCTCAAAAGACTTCAGAACAAGCAATAATCACGTGGTACCTTGTCTTCTTTACAGAGTCTCCCTGGACCCTTTTCTGTCTCTGTGACGGTTGCAGAGACCTTTGCAATATATTTTTTCAGAACCAGCCTTGCATCTGAAAGAAGAAGACAGGAAAATGCACAATAAGACACAGGCCAAAAAATATGCTCAACTGTTTCTAACGTACTATTACATGTCCAGAGCTTTAAAAAGATTGTTCGTGGGAGATTTTTTTTTTGTGGTTGTTTTCATTGACTTTCAAGAAAGGTAACACTCAAGCAACACGGCACTCTGGGGCACTCACTGTGTTCCTAGAATTATTCGAAAATTTTTGAAGAACAAATAAATATAAAATGTGACACCTGATCTCAAAGAGGCAGTAATCTATTAAAATATCTACTCTGGAGAAAAAAAAGAAAAAATATTTCCAATACACAAACTGTCACTTGTTCTGGATCCTTCTAAATAAATTTAAAAATCGTGTTCCTTTTCAAAAAAAAAAAGTGTTTAAAATAATTCCATTCACTATAGCACCCATAGTAATGTCATCACAAAATCTGCAAGATATAGGTAAACAAAATATAACACTTGGAGAAAAATAAAAGACTCGATGAATCGAAAGGCTTACTATATTCCTAGATGGAATAACTGAATATTGTAAGTTTGTACATTGGCCCCATATTAAGCTAACGGTTGATGTATTTGTTTCTTGTGGCTGCTATAACAAATTGTCATAAAATCTGTGGCTTAGAACAACACAGATTTCTCCTTTTATAGTTTCAGAGGCCAGAAGTCGGAAACGAGTTTTGCTGGGCTAACGTCAAGGTGCCGGCCGGGCGGACTCCTTCTGTGGGCTCTGAGGAGAGAGTCTGTTTTCTTGCCTTTTTCAACCTCCGGTGGCTGCCTGTCCTCCTTGCCCGGTGGCCGCCTGTCCTCCTTGCCCGGTGGCCACCTGTCCTCCTTGCCCGGTGGCCCCTCCCGCCACGCTCAGCGCACAGCACTCCAATCTCTACTCCCATCATCGCCTTCCCCTCTTCTGTGTCAAAGCTCCTTCTGCCTCCCGCTTGTAGAAAGGACGCTTATGATAACAGTGAGGTCCCACCTGGATAATCCGGGATGATCTCCCGGCCTCAAGAGCCGTATTTTAAGGATCTCCAAAGTCTCTTCTGCCACAGGAAGGAACAGTCACAGGTTCCAGAAGTTAGGACCTAGATATATACGTTTGGTAGCCATTTCTCAGCCAACCACGGCCTTCCAAAATTCACAGCTATCCCACGTGTAGAATTCATTCGGCCCATCCCAGCACCCAAGAGTCCCGGCCCATTACATCGATCCACGTCCTAATAATCACCCAAAAGATCAGCTGCTCGGAAGTCTCCAATCTCATCGTCTGAATCCTCCAGACAGCGTATGGGCGAGACCGGGTATGGCCCTTCCGTCCTTGGGTAGACATGTGAAAACGGAAAATGAGTCGCCTGTCCAGAGCGATTCTGAAATTCCACGGGGCAAACCCTCTGAGGTGTCCAGGCCCAAGACTGATCCCCTGAGGCACAAGGCTTGTCCCCTCGGCTGCAGCTCCAACCCAAGTCGTCCTTCTTTTTCCCGAAAGGCAGCCCGTTTTACCTGTCGTTTCCTGCCTTGTAGAGTTTTGGGAGTCTGGCAGCCTTTTTTGCATTTTGTCTAAACTGTCAAAGTTCCTAGCCATGTAACATCCTCAAACCTCGTGAGTGCCCCTGCGTGGCCCAGAGACCCATCCCACGGGACTGGAGGCTCCTCGACGGGTCGGCGCCGGACACCCTCGTTTCTGCTCGTGCCCTCTGCTGGGCCGGCTGCGGAGACCGTGAGCAGCACGCCCGACGCCCGAGGCTCGAGTGGAACACGGTCCAGCCACATCTGTGGCCTCCTCTCCGGGCACACGGTCCCGGCAGCGAAAATCCCAATTTCAGTACTTCGCGATCTGGACGGGCTGAGAAGTGCCCGCCACGCCAAGCCCTGTTCCTCCGTGCACGACAGGTTCTTGCCTCGATTCGTCTCTCTCCACTCACCTGTTACTGTAAGCTACGGGAGAGATCGGGTCATGCCGCCACCTTGCTCGGACATCCGTTCAGCTAAACCAGTGTCCACGGCCACCGCGTACAGTCTCGCTTGCTTTCTGCCGCCCGGTGAGACCGCCTTTCCCCCACTTCCAGTGACGGGCCCCTCGCTTCCCTCTGAGCCTTCGCCAGGACGCCTTCGCCGTTCCTATTTCCACCGACGCTGTCTACAGTGACTTAGGTGCAGGTTCCCGCCCGCCTTCTCACCTCCTGAGCCCTCATCGGCTGCGTCTTTATGGCCTCACTTCCATGCACAGTCCACTCAAGGCCATCCAGGCTATTCCCGTCATGCCCCTCCAAAGTCTTCCATGAGCCCACCACTCAATTCCAAAGCTTCCCCCACAGTTTCAGCCACTTGTGACAGCTGCACCTCACGCCCAGGTGCCAGTCTGTACTCGTTTCCTGCGGCCGCTGAAACAAATTACCACAGACTCAATGGCCCGAAACAACACTAATTGATCCTTTTACAGTTCTGGAGACCGGAAGTCCGAAATCAGTTTCACGGGCTGACGTCCACGTGTTGGCAGGGCTGACTCCCGGCGGCTCTAAGAAAAAACCATTCCTTATCTTCTTCAGCTTCTGGCAACCATCCCAGCTTGTGGTCTCTCCCAAACCTTCAGAGTACATCACCCCACATCCTCCTCTTCTGTATCAAACATCCCTCTTCTTTCCTCTTATAAGGACACTTGCGACTATATTCCGGGCCCACCTGGATAATCCAGGATAATCAATCTCCCATTGTCAAGATCCTTAACTTAATTATATCTGCAAAGTTTCTTCTGCCCTATAACAGTCGCGGGTTCCAATGATTAGGACCTGCTATCTTTGGGCGCCATCAACCAGCCTACCATAATCAGTATACGCAATCTTGTGAAATTCCAAACGGAAATTTTAGAGAGACTTAGTGAAATCGATTGTGTCATCGGTAGTACCTAACAATCTCTTTAAGCCTCGTTTGCCTGTCTGTAAAGCAGACCATAATAAAAGTGCCTTCCAGCGTCAAGTTCAGGCGCACATCTGAAATAGTCTTAATGGACATGGACTAGATCAACGGTCTTCTTGCTTCCGCCCCTTCCCAGCTTCAAACCCATCCTTCATGTCGCAAGCAGAACTGATCACCTGAACTGGAATCATCACGAGTTAGGTGACCTGGAGTCAGTGGTGTTTCCACAACTTCAGTACAAGACGGAGCTCAGGGGAGGGATGAGCTGGAGGAGGGGACTAAGGGACTTGTCACGCAACTGTATCTGTACCACGTGCCCACGGGTTTTATTGAGAGCACATGTTTATTTTGGGTGGCTTGGGAGAGAGAGGAGCTTATTGCAAGCATCCTCTTAATGCGAATTGGGTAGCTTCTAAGGAACAGAAATGTCTTTCTCATGGTTCCGGGGCTGCGTAGTCCAGCATCAAGGCACCAGCATGGTCGTAGTCTGGCGAGAACCCTCTTCCTTCATAGCAGGGCCTTCCTCACGTGCTGGGAGGGGCAAGGCACTCGGTGGGGGTCAGGGGGCTCTCCCCAATCCCCAGCACTAATCCCATTCCCAAGGCTCCACCCTCAGGTGCCTCCCAAAGGCCCTGCCTCCTAAGACCATCACATTGGGCATTAGGATTTCAATTCTGGGAGGACGCAAACATTCAGACCGCAGCAGAACCTGTTCCCCCATTTATAAGGTGTAAGTAACACAGCACAGTCCTCACAGGGTTGACATAAGGGTTAAACAGAACATGGTATAATGCATACAAATATCTTGGCACAGTGCCTGGCACGCAATAAAGCACTCAATTAGTTTATCATGTCATTTCTCTCCTCAAAACTTTATAAATGATTCCCTATTGATTTCTGAATAAAATACAGGGCCCTCTGAGATCTATCTAGCCACAGGCTCTCTTCCAGCTCTATTCCTCCCACCGTCACCCAGAGAGTCTATCCATTGTTTACTTCCTATTCCCTCTGCCCCCTGATGTCTTTACGGCTCACTCCTTCCGTTCCTCAGGTCTCTGCTCGAGCATCGCCTCATCGGAGAGGAGGCCCTTCCTGATCGCCCCCCATACGACAGCACTCACACTCACTCGGTTGCCTGCTGGCAGCTCGCAATCCCCTCACCACTCTACTTGTCTCCATGGCACTAACACATAGATTTAGAGAGAGATTCTTTTCTGCGTCTCCCTACAAGAAAGTAAACATAAAGATTGTTTCGTGCCTACCGGTAGATGCATTCTGAGTTCCTTAGCATGCAGGAGGTGCCTAATAAATATGTCGTATGTTTACAAAGAATTTCTTTGCTTATTTTATGCTCCTCAACCTCAGATGTCCCATCCGCACTGCCACCTACCAAAATTCTACTCAATATTCAAATCTCACTCAAATGTACTTCTACAAACTCCCAATGCCAAGTAGAACTCATTGCCCTTTATTGCTCTTTCGACTGTCACATGATTATAATTTGATTTACTTCTCATTTTAGTCTACAGTATCTTAGAATTTTTATCATCTTGTTTCTTGCTTCTACCTCTAGATCGTTAAGATCCTTCAAGGAGGGTCCGTGTCTCATCTTTTGATCATAGACCATGCCACCTCACCATCTCACCTTTTCTCGCATGCCGAATTCCCCGCCCCTCGCCCCCTACCTAACAGTGCCACATTGCCACCAAAGGGACCTTGGTTAAAAGGAGGAAGCACTCAATATGTGTTTAACTATTTGAAGGGAAGGACAAGTCAGAGTGAAAAAACGAAGCAGACTGCAGGTTGCGGGAAATGGTACAGGTACAGATATTTTTTTAAGGAGATGCATAACCACCAAACTTCACAAGGGGTAGAAGAGATACGGGTAAATTATTTCCATGGAAGTCCATTAATATGATCACAGTTTGAATTTATTAGCGGTAAAATATTAGTAAAGTCTTCATTTTTTATAAAATTGAAGACACTCAATCCATTCTGGCAAAAAGCAAGAAGGATCCCTGAGAAACCCAAGGTGACTGTTAGATGACACCTTTTAGTTCCAATATGGCTCTTTATGACATCACAGAATCTCCCGCTGAATCACTGTGACTGATGATATGACAATGACCATCAGTGTATATTTTATGGTCCAGGAAGACTATCTTAAATGTCTTCGCCAGAGCACCATATTAACTCATGCTCAGGGCATTTCTGCTCTGCCTCTGACCACACTTTTGGCTATAGATTCTTTTGTCCCAATTAAGAGAGAAAGATGTCCATTCAAGGAACATCCCTGATTTCTCCTCTGTTGTTTATCTGCCTCTTAAGGGAGAGCCTCTGCATTTGTGATGGAACTATCTGGACAAAGGTTGGATGGGAGATCTTTCCAGAAGAAATGTATTATCTGAAAGTTAAGCCTGCTCCATCTCACTGTCTACCTTACCCTATGGACAAACTATGCTGCAATCTTGCTAATGTGGATATATTTAAGGATTGTTTACATCTCATGTATATTTTAGTACAGGCTCTCTTTTTAATCCTGACTGTTTTATCTGTGCATTACCTGTGGATGAAATGGAAGAAACACAAGAAAAAGGTGAATGAGTGATGACATAGTAATACTTATAGAATGTCAGAGGTTAAAATGTATGATTTATCAGCTTCTTTGAGAAAGAGTACCACATCTTATTTCCCTTTGTAACTTCCCCCGGCACCTGCCATTCACTCTGAGCATCTAGCACAGTGTCTTGTACATACCAGGTGCTCGATAAATGTGTATTAAATTACAAGATCCTTAAAGTAATGTAGTCCAACCCCTCTATTTCAAGTTACAAAACACATCAAGAAAGCGGTAAGCTACAAAGAGTAGAATACATAGTAAGTGAAGTTATCCAACCAGGCCCTCGGGTAAGTCCTTCGATTTTTCTCAGCTGCCTCATCCATAAGATGAAGGATCTGGAGGAAGAGATCTGTTAAATCCCTTCCGCATCCATCTAAAAAGACTAAGTACATAAAAGTTGGCATGTATTTTTAAAATAGACTGTAAGCTAATTTCTAATGGTAGGATAACTTTCTTGGAAATGGTACTCTTGAACAAATTTCCCACTTGGCCAGTGGCACCATATTTTGAGGCAATCTTAGAAAAAGGGTCATTGATTTTCACAACAATTAGATAGTTATAAAATGACTATGATTTTATTGCATTATACCTTGAGGCTGTTTATAATAAAGGGAAATATTCTGCTAATATTTAAATAATTCCTCCTAGCAGAATGCTCTAACCGTAAAAAGCACCTTTTCGTGTTTGCTGATGGTGATAATGATTACCATCCTCTTACACAGGAGCATATACGAAAGGGCATTTGTACCTGTCTCTTATAGTAATCTTTCTTGTGTATAAAGTAAGTGTGTGTTGTTGGAGTTTACGTACATTTGTCCAGAAAACGAATTGAATCTGAACTACAGTAAGGGAAAAAAAAAACTATAACATCATTTGTTTTTCTCCTTTTAGCTGAAAAAACAAGCCTCCTCAGATACCTCTGGTAATAAAGATCTACAAACGCAGTCCATCTATGACATCGACCAAATACTCTGCAGACTGGTCGCCACAACGTCGATGATGACCAAGTACCTGAATCAGGTATCCCAACATACTTCGGCTAAGAAACTCAAGCACCGAAAATCAAAGAAGAAGAAGAGTGAAGAAGAGCCAGAGTCCACTAAACACAACCACACGCACCTGTAGCTCAGTCCAATATGGAGACACACGGGAGACCTATGAGAGAATTTATATTAAGGACAAAAATAGATCTTTGCGAGCCTTTGTAATTTTGGGCCACTTTCTTTTTTTTTAATGGTTTTTTTTAATATACGTTAGTTTCAGGTACACAGCATAGTGGTTAGACATTTATATAATTTACAAAGTGATTCCCCCCAATTAGGCTAGTACCCACCTGGTACTATCCATGGTTATTGCAATACTAGGGACCTTAGTCCCTATGCTGTACTCCACAGCCCTAAGACTATTTTTTAACTACCAATTTTTACTTCTAAATCCCCTCACCTTTTTCACCCAGCAACCCCTCCCCCAAGCCACCATCTTTACTGAATCTTTCCAGAGAAGTCTGGGTTGAAAAGTTCTTTCTAATCCACTAAAAAGGCATCCATACTTACAAAAGTACTGGGGGGGAATGTACAGTACCATTGTCTCAGGTTTAAGTATTTTGCTCTTTTCAATGTACGAGATTACTTATCATTAACCATTGGTAGAATAGGTTCTTTAGTGTTTTAATAAATCTGATGTAAGTAATATTTGTGATTTTTCTTACTTTCCTGAGGAAATTTTATGGCCACAAGAAGACTTAGTTTCCTATCTCAGATTGCTAAAAATAGTATAGAAAGATTAAGGAATAGATTAATTTTAAAATATATTTTTTTTTCCATTTCCAGTTTGATAAATGAAGAATTAAGTATCAACATTTTTTAAAGTTCCGACTTTTGATGCTCAGCCACCTCAATCCTTAAAAAGTATGGTTACCACACTTTCCAACAAAAACTGGGAGACGGATCTGAGACTGAGACAGAAGATTTGATTAAAAACATGTTGAAAAATCCCAGCAAAAAATATACCAGATCTGTAACAGATTGTTAAAAAAAAAAAAAACTTTTAAAAAACAATCCTTGAAACAGAAATAGATAACTCTACAGTTTTTACAGGTAATAGAAAAGAACAGTGCCTGCTGTGGGTTGTTGTGGATTATTAAAAGTTTATTTATGGTTTAAAAGTTTATTTACAGTTTGACTTTCCAGATTCTTCTTCTTCCTTCCACGCTCCCTTAGAACAACCCTACCTCCCGTTTCCGTTAGTTTGTTCCACTCCTTCAGCATTCTGAACGGTCAACTAATTCCCTCTAAGAGAGTGCTGGTATATCTTTCTCTTAATGGAGAACTCTTGAACACTTAAAAAGTCTGCAAACCCCAAAAACCCAAAGAGATTTATCTCTAATAGTGGAATTTTAGGCAGGGGACTCTTCAACCCCTTAAACCCCTCTGGGTGCCTTCTACTCTAATTGTTAAAATAAGAAATGGAAGTGGTTTATACTCTTGGCAAGTCTGAATCAAACAAATGTTAAATATTATGTTGAGTAGCTTGTGTTTCTGACATCCCAGGGCTACGTTACCATGAAGCTCCCATCCTTACAATTCCATCACTGATCTGGAAACAGAATAACAGTTTACAGTATTATAGTTCTTTAATCTTCGACACTAGGAAATGTTAAGTATAATTCCCCTAGGAACGTAAGGACCCAAATGAAAACAGCGGGATATTAGGGAGAAGGAAACCTAAGGAGAAGGAGATCAGTGCAACTCCACACCCATGAGCCCCAAACTGCTGCTTTTCAGAGAAGTTACAGCAAAGTTTGTCCCTGAATTGTTTTTTAAGTACCATGGGTCATTCTTCCAAAATGGATTGTAAATTACATAAGGTGAATAAGGTGAATAACTATTCATGAGGGGTCAAGTCTTTGCTATTTTTCTTTTTACTTACCTATCTAATCATAAAATCAAAGGTGCAGACAGAAGTATGGCCCCTAGAAAACATTTGGTACAAGTGAACAATTATCTATAAAATAATCCACAAAATATAACTCGCCTTCCTCCGAAATGTGCTTCCTTCCCTCAATTTCCTTACTTCTAGTAACTGTCCCTGACCTCTTATTTTACTGATAAGCAAGCTCCTTCGTGCTGCCAGGAGAATCTTCCTAACTGCCACTTTCATCCTCTTCCTTCCTACGTAAAAATTTTCAGTGGCTCCAGCGGCTACAGAAATGAAATGAAAATACCTCGGCCTGGCACTTCGGGGTATAGTCTGGCTGTAATAACAGCAGCAGCATTTTCCAGCTGCTGATGACATGCCAGGCATTGTGCTAAGTGCTTTGTAGCATCTCATTTGATTCTCATAACAACCCCAAGAGGTAGGAATTACTATTGGCTCCTTTTTCCAGAAAATGAAATTGAGGTATAAAGAATTTAAGTACCTTGTCCGAAGTCACATAGGTTTCGAGTAGAGATGCCAGTATTCAAACCTAAGCAATCTGATTCGAGAGCCCACCTACTTACTCTTTTACTGTTCTGCCTGCGCTGTAACCTGCCTGTGCCCACTCTGACTGGCCGGTCCAGTAAGGCAATCTTGTCCCTGTCCATCACTCAACATGCCACTTTCATTCCCAGCTCTTGCAGATTTTGTTCGCACCCTTTTGCCGTCTGCCTTGTATTCCAGTCCTACCCACTCTTTAAGGCCAAGCTCAACTGCGATGTGCTCTGACTTCACACGCTCTGACCACTCCCCAGCGTGTACCCCGTGCCCTGCTGGTTTTAACCCTTACTCACAGTCTTTCTCATACTGTTATTTAACTGTAGGATGTGTCTATAGCATCCTATCTCGCACCTAACAAATGCCTGGAGGGCAGGAACAACAACTGTACCTGCAACAACGCTATGCTCATTGGGCATTTAAGAAATGCTTGCTAAAAACACAAATGCAAATAACTACACAAAATGAAAGCCGTGAACTCCACAAGTACCAATTTTTCAACCCATGTGTGTACGCATACATAGTTACATGGGTATATCTTCCTGAAATCTCTAATGTTCTACAGGGCTGTGGAAATGACGTATGCAAAATAATAGTAAAACTCAAAGTAGCACAGTCTTTGTAACCTTCGACTGAAGCATCATACATACAGAAAAGTGCAGATGAGTCAGTCAGCTGGCTGCACCTGTGAGCTTCCTTACCTGCCCAGTCCAGGAACTGGACGCATTCGGTCTGCGAGTACCGAGCAGCAACGTCTCGAGCTCTCTCCTCCCGGAAGTTCAGAGCTTCTATGTCAACGTCCAATCCCACTAGCACCTTCAGAGTTTCCAGACGACCCCAGGCCGCAGCGCAGTGTAAGAGCGTGTAACCTGGCAAACAGGATGCAGATGGTCAGCTCGAGCGGACCACGTTCTTCAAGACTCGCCGTAGCAAGAACATCATTAAGTGCTGACTGTTCAGCAACTTACCATGTGCCAAATCCTATAAGATATTTATATCTATCTTATTTAATCTTCATAACACCCACCAGGAAAATATAATTCTGAGCCCCATTTTGTAGATGAAGGAACAGAGACTCAAAATGATTAGGTCGCTTGCCCAAGTCTCAAGCGAATAGTCAAGTCCGTGTCCTTGTCTACTTACTAAGCCACAGTGTATCAACACGCACACACACAGACACACACACACACACATACACACTCATATGTGTGTGCATACACGACATACGCAAAATGTAAAGCAGGCACACCAAATGTACCCAGCTTTATACCCAAGACGGTAACATCTTTAAGTATTCCTAAGTAATACAAAAGGAAAAAGACAAAATACCTCTGGCAGTTTTTTCATTCAGATTCACACCATATTTTGCCAAAGCTCTAATCACATCGCTCTGCCCGGCCATGCAAGCCGCATACAGCAAATTTCTCCCAACGACATCTTCTTCCAAGAGCAGCTGCATGGCCTCGTCATGATGAGGGTTCTCGGGCTCCTCGAAAATCCTCTGCACCCCTTCCACGTCCCCCGAGAGGACGGGTTGCATGAGCGCATTGACTGGGCCCATCTTCTCCTTCTCCTCCTCAATTTCTTCTTTGAATTCTTCTTCCTCCTCTTCTTCTTGCTGTGAGACAAATGACGATTTTTCTGAACTCTCAGGCTCTGGGGGTCCTTCTGACTCCATTAACTCCAAAAATACCTGGGACCAAAGGAAAAAAAAGTACTAGAAATCTACTCAAATTAGTATGTTTGATTGTTGGGACCAAAGGAAAAAAAAGTACTAGAAATCTACTCGAATTAGTATGTTTGATTGTTTGTATGTATGTATGTATTCTTGCATGTATGTATGTATTCCGTCAGTCCACTGACAATACAGGTAGGACGAAAACATTTAACTGGTTGGAAATAATGATAAAATATGGTATTTCATCCATTCAATTAAGTAAGTTTATTGTGTACCTACCACAAGTCAGTACGCTGCCCGAATATATACTAAAACACTCGATATAAATAGTAAATTCAAAAGAAACAAGAGAAGAGATCAACGCAGGCTAGATTCACTGGCAGTTGGCAGGAGGAAAAGTTTGAGAGAGAATGTTAAAGAGACTCACCCACCTATAAACATATGGCCATCCTGGGGAGAAGTAAGGCATATGGTCGGGTCATTGGGCCAGATTAGTAAGACCTTAAAAAGTCAGTTACTGATGTTCAGACAGAATTCATTCGCTCAGTAATGCTCACTGAAAGCTTACTAATATACTCATAACGTGCAGACATTCTGTAAATTACCAAGAAGAATCAAATTTATTTTCTGCCCTCGACAACTTACTTTTTCAAGGGAGAAAAGGTGACGTGTGCGAAATAAGTGTAATAAAAGGTGACACATGGTAAGCATCATAAGAGATGAAACGTTAAGGGAAATTTAGAAGGGACAAGATTAATTCCAGATAGAATTAATCGAGGAAGTCTTAACAGTGCTCACCCTGGCAGAACCATATTAAATTGGGAATGATTCAGAGAAGAGTGGCATGGTCCCCTCATATGTATAAGAATGTTTGTAGCACCCGTGTTCATACGGCCAGAATTGTGGGTGGGGGAAAAACCGTGCCCACGGACAGCAGCACAAACTGTGGCAGATTTACACAAAATAGCACATAGCGGTTACAGGGAGTCAATGACAGTGCTGTGCCGTGGGGCAGGCAGCCCTAACATGGGTCCCCCCGCCCCGGCAGTCACGCCTTTGCGTAGTTCTCTCCCCATGAACGCAGGCCGGACACGCTGACTTTCTTCTAAGGTGATGGGTTGTCGCTTCCATAACTCAGTTACGACACACTAGGACTTCTGTCTTGTTGGCCTTCTCTCCCCGGCTCCGGTCACGTTCTGTGATGGACAGGGCCACGTTTCGAGAAACAGTGGGCAAACTCCAGCCAACTGCCAGTGAGGAGCCGAGGCCCTCGGTCCAACAGCCCAGAGGAATTGAAATTCACCAACAACCACTGAGTGAGCTCAGAAGTGGATCTGCCCCAGCTGAACCTTGAGGTGACAGTGGCCCCACGCAACACATTGATTGCAGCCTCATGAGCGACGCCAAAGCAAAAAATCCAGTTAAGCTGTGCCCTGATTCCCAACCCAGACGAATAATGACCTAATGAATGTGTGCTATTTTAAGCTACCAGGTTTGGACGTAATTTGCTACACAGCCATAAAAAACGAAGGCGAACAACAATATGAATGAATCTTAGCAACATAATATTAACTAAAAAAATAAATACCAAAAACTATATATCTAGATATATAATATATTTTTGTGACATTCAAAGCCACTAATTAAAATAGACTTTTTAGGAATACAAGTGAATTCAACAACATTATTTTAAAAAGAAGAAGAAAAACAAGATTGAACACAAGATTCAGGACAGATGTAGGAAATGGGATAAAGGGCATCATATATTTAGTAAAGAATATGGCATTTAAGCTGGACCCCAAAGAATAGGCAAGATTTGGTCGTTCAGAAGTCAGAAGGCAGGCAAATCTAGTTACACAGAATAACATCTCGTTACTACAGCCCTACATTAATCTCCGCCTTCACTAAACATGTATAATACCTATAAGCTGCCAAAGTTAGGAATCATTTAATTGCAAATATATAAAAATAGTAAGATTACTTTTTAAAGTAGATTATTTTCTCACATAACAGGAAATTTAAAGGTGAAAATGATTCAGCAGCTCAGAAAGACAGATCCAAGCTCTTTCTGTCTTTGTATCCCATCATAGTCTGTGAGACTTTCATGATCGTGGCGGTTGCCCTGTGGTGACAAAATGGCTGTCATAATTCCTGGCATCATGTCTGCATTTATGGCAGGAAAAGGGGGAACCCCTCCCCCTCCCCCGCCGCCAGAGGATACGAGCAGCATCCATCCCTTTTAAGGGAAAAACAAAACAACATCTTCCCTACCAACCAACTTCCAGCTATATCTCAAAGGCCAGATTGTGCCCCTATATTTAAGAGAAGCAAAAAAAAAAAAAGCAAGTTTCTCAATTTCCCTGCCTCTATAATGAAAGCAAGCAATGCGAAAAGGGTTCGGTATGGAAGTCAAGTTAGCTAATGAATCATGACACCACCGTAAGAGCTAACCCAAATCTTACCTCTGAGATCGTTTCATTCAATTCCCTCATTTTACAGAATAACTGGATAGAGGAAACTTAGAATCCTTTTGAATGTCTAGCATCCAACTCCCAACACACACACACGCATGCGCGCATCTTTAAAGCATCCCAATCTCCATTTTAGAGGATTTTTCTAATGGAAGAAAAAGCTGACTTCCCACTGCAGAAGTCAAAGCAGCAACATCCTCCTTCTCTTCGTCTGAGCACGACCTGGGGGCAGGCGCATATATTGGGCTCAGTCAGTCAGTTGCTCAATTCCAGAATTGACTGTTATTCTGTTGGTGGTGGTGTGAATCACCGCATCTTTAAAACTGACGTGTAACACTGTGTTAGTTTCACGTGTGCAACATCATGATTTGATATATGGTCATATGACGAACTTGTCTTAGCAACTTTCAAATACAGTACAGCACTGTATTCAATTCCACACGGTACCATTAACTACAGGCACCACGCTATACAGCACATTCCCAGAACAGATTTATAACTGGAAGTTTGCATCTTTCGACCACCCCCCAGCCTCACCTCCGGTGACCACCAATCCGTTCTTTTTATCTATGAGTTCAGTTTTTCCAGCTTCCACTTATAAGTGACCAAGATCTTGACTACTGAACAAGGGACAGAAGGACATGAGGCTAGCTGAAGGTCACTCGCCACGGGGGACAGCAGCGGTGTGGTGATCAAACTCCCTGCGCTGAGACCATGCTCTGGTTCTTGTGGTCTCACCCTCTGGGGCTCCCTTGGTTCCTGCTCCTCTCTGGCCTCCCAGTGACCACATGCGCCCTGGATCTGGTAAACAGTTGGCTTTCTCCACCTCTAATCTTCCTGCTTTAGGAATACAATCCCGTCACCTTTTCTTTTAACCATGCTTTTTTATTTTTGAACCAATATTTATATTAGAATAAAACTATTTCCCAGGCTCCTGTGCAACACGGTGTGGCTTTGGGTCCAAGCAGTGAACAACAGGATGTAAGTGGATGCGTAATACACAACCTCTGGGAAAACCTAACGTTGTCTCACTGGACCGCAAGCACGATGGCGGCAGCTTGCACAGCTAATTCGCACCACGAGGTCAATGTTCTGTCCAAATATAAATATTGTACATACTGCATTATATGTTACATATAGTATATATTGGTTTATGATATCTTAATTATATACGTAAATACATATAACTTCTATTAAAAATAATTTATTTTTCAGTAGTAATGGATACTTTTATCCTGGGTACATTGCATATGTGGGTATATTTGCATATATATAATTAAGCAAAATACTATTAATCCTTACTACATGTAACATAGTGATGTTTTTATTTTGATTCTGTTTTTTAAGGTCAATGCCACCCACCAAATTGATTTCATGACCCACGAATGGGTTGCAACCCACAGTGTGAAAAAACATTAGTCCTGAATAACCACTTGGGCGATTATACCAGGAAACCAACAAGAAAAAATCTAACAGTCTACGGCCATGCCACCCTGGACACACCTGATCCTGTCTGATCTCAGAAGCTAAGCAGGATCAGGCCTGGTTAGTACTTCGATGGGAGACCATATAGGAAGACCAGGTACTGGAGGCATTAAAAAAAAAAAAAATCCATCAGAAGTCGGACAGCATGTGCTATGGAGCTTGGGTGACATATGTCCCAACGTACCCAGGGCAGTTCCAGTTACTTATGCTCCCTGGTAATTTTTCACA